GAAGAGTGCATTACATAGACAAATCAGCTCTGGTTTCTAGATACAGTGTTCCACTATATTATTTATTGATTTATCATCCTAGTTTTAAATATGGGAATAATTCAGATCCTTGTTACAGGATGAGACAAAAAAGGTAAGAAATATCCCAGGGAAGGTGTATATGGGCCCATGGTGGCTGTTGGTTCTGCACTGAACTGCCAATCAGAAGGTCTGTGGTTCAAACTACCAAGCACCCTGCAGCCTTTAAAAGATGTAAAGGCTTGGAAACCCAGGGGAGCTGTTCTTCTTTGTTCTGTAAGATCACGGGGAGTTCAAATGGGTGAGAGGGCAGCAGGCTTTTCTGTTTGGCCGGGGAGGCTGTGCAGTAAACCCAGAGACGTCAAGGTGGATACTGGAAGGCCAAGACACATATTGAAAAGAATACACTTTTTTTTAAAAAAATTGAAAAGGAACATATATGGAAAGTGTGAGGGCAATTTAGAATGTTAAAAAGGTAAGGCTTCATGGCCATTTTCATAAATATTTTGAAGATTTAAAATTTTCTTCAAATTACACAGCTAGAATTACAGGACACAGTTTAATATCTAGAAGTCAGTGGATAAATTATGTTAAGTATTTCAGAGGTGAAGGGAACTCCAAGCTTCTTTATAAGAAAAATTCTAACTTTTAAGAGTTTCTGTGCCCAGGTGGAGAAGTTGTGCCTCTTATAACAAGGCTGGAACATTTTCATTTTAATAAAGGAGTTTGAATTCTTGACAGGCCCATTTTGGGTTTCAGAACATTTGAGTCTCTATCGTATCAAACTCACGACCAGTGAGTTGATTCTGACTCCTAGCAGCCTTATGGGACAGAGCGGAACTTCTGTGGGTCCCACAGGCTGTCAGTCTTCATGGGAGCGGAGAGCCTCCCCTTTCTCTTGCAGAGTGACTGCTGAGCTCAAATAGCTATCCTCGCAGCTGGCAGTCAAACACATAACCCCTGTGCTGTCAAGGCTCCTAACTAATGGATGGCCCCTTTAAAAATAAAGTAGAACTGCCTGTAATTCAGGCCCTAATTAAAGTGAAATGATACTTGGAGAAAATTCCAAGTTCATGTAATCTGCACTGTTTAAATATGCCTCCAGATCAAAGGACACCGCCGTGTGAAGTATAACTTGGCCTAAATATTTAGTACAACGCAAACTACTGTAAATAATCCTGCATGCACTTCCTCTCTCTGAGACTAGCTAACACTACATTGAAATATCCTGCTTATTTATGGGTGAGCAGAGTGAAGAGTGATATGCGGCATAGGTTCTGTATCTCACAAACCAGAACTGATATGGGGGAACGTGCCATTGTTTGGAATCAGCAGGTCAACTATGCTCAGAAACAATTCTCACATTTGAGGCCCCCAAATGTGTGCTGGCCAGTGAAATTAGTAACCCAGTAGAAGCTCCTCTTGATATTTCCTCCTTTTCCTTTAAGTACTACTTCATTCTCAAATGTTCACAAGTATGTATAATTACCCAACAGTTAACCGAAAGACCAGCCAATGTAACCAAACCAGGGTTTAAAAACACGGCAGCAACGAGAGCAACAGCGCACGCTTGAGGCACATGCACCTGAAGCCCCGAAGCCGCGTGTATCCTGCAGATGAAGTGGGATTGTCCTGGGGTGATCTGTCATTTTGGGGTCACCCCCTCCTTTCAGTCCCCACCTCCCACACCCTCCTTCCAAGTCCCCCATTTCACCCCCACAGGCCATAACTACGCCTTTGACTGTGGCTCTAGGGGTTTGGGATAGTTTCACTCAGGCAGAAAACGCTGCATTCCTGAAACGCGGTGTCTAGAAGGTCCCTCACCCACACTGATTGAGAACACGCATCCTTCCTGCCTCCTTCTGCCTCGGTCCCTGGCCAGCACTAGGTCTTGAGGCTCCGAGAGCACTGCCCCCCGCCGTGCCCCCTTGCCCTCCCGCAGTCAGCGAGTGAGTGAGGGAGCCGCACAAAGAGCACAAGGACTCCTCGTGGCGCCATACCTGGATCTGGATCGAGCCGGGCCACTCCCCAGGGGGCCAGGACAATCAGCAGCCTGAGCAGCCTCATCCTGGGGCTCACCTCCACGCAGGGGAGTCTGCAGGGGCTAGTGTTCCCGCCTCAGCCTCCTGCAATGCCCTTCCTTCACAGCCACATGCCTCTGCTCGGCTTTCTTCCCAGGTCTCCCAGGTCACCTGCGCCCTGTGGCTTTGCCTCCTCTGCCCAGTAGGGTGTGACCTGAGATTGCCAGCAGGGGCAGAAGGCGGGCGTGTGGTCTCCTCAGTGCAAAGCAGCACCCGCCCTGCCAGTTCCTCCAAGCCGGAGCCTGTCGGTCTCAGCCACAGGCTGCCCTCCAGGAAGCTCTGCCAGCGTCAGTCTCCATCCACTTTCAGGGTTTCCCCATTGCCCCACCCCAGCAGGGCAAACCAATCAAATGGCTGGCCTTTGCCTTCAAAGGACCTGACTTCACTCCTCCTTGAAGATCCAGAGATCTACAGACAGGCAAACCAGAGCATAAGGGTCAGCCACCACCCCCATTCATGGGAGGAACCATGTCCCAGGAAGATGGTGAGGACCAGGGCAGCCCTTGAGAGACCTGGGCAGAGGGAGAGGTGAGCCACTGTTTTTTCATTGAACTGACAAACCCAGAGGGGGCTCGAATGCAAACTGCGGGAGGTGACATGGGCTTAATCTTTCCTGAACACCTTAGTGTGGATCTTGCCAAAGATGAACAGAAATAGAAGAGTGTAATGAATTCCTACAGACTCACCCTCCAGCTTCAGCAGTTCGGAATTTATGGCCAACCTGATTTCACCTATCCCCTAACCCTAATCCCATTGGATTATTATTATTTAAATTCCAAAGACCACATCAAAATGTGTCTCTAAAAGATTGTTATTGTTAGCTGATGTTCAGTCCCTTCCAACTCATTGCAATCCTACGTCCAACCAGGGGGGTGGAACCCCGCCTCGCCAGGGGCCATCCTCACAGCTTTGCTATGTGGGAGTCCACTGTTGGAGCGACCGTGTGACCCAGCTCCTTGAAGGTCGTCCTGTTTGTGCTGCTGGCATTCCGTTTAGCATGATGATCTTCTCCAGGAACTGGGACCTCTGATAACGTGTCCAAAGTCCATGAGATAAAGGCTTCCCATCTTCGCTTGTAAGGGACACTCTAGTTATACTTCTGGAAATTCTCCTGGAAGTCCATGGTGTATAGTTAATATCCTTTGCCAACACCATAATTCAAAGGCATCAATTCATCTTTGGTCTTCCTTATCCGTTGTCCGGTTTTCACACGCTGATGAGATGACTGGAAATAAGAAGGAAGAGGGCTTCCAGTTCTGAGAAAATTAGCCACCAAAAACCTTACCCAACGGCAGTGGAAGATTGTCTGATATAAATATGCCAGCAAGTGAGCTCTCGGGTTGGAAAACACTCAAAATACAAAATACAGCCGATGAAGAGCTACCTCCTCAAAGTACAGCGGATCTTTGTCTGAGAGTTTCGATTCCGAGTGCCCAGGCTTGCAAAAGGCGAGAGATGGCAGGGACTGTCCAAAATCCTCACACAGCTTAGTCTCCTTCACAAGCACTCTGATCAGTAGCCACCATCTGGCCCTCAGGCAGAACGCCTTGGAAAGTGGATTGCCTCCACCCCTCTCTGGCCAGCCCAGGGAGGGGCAGTCTCTCTCCTAGGGGCTTGCCTAGGTGTGTCCTTGACGGAAGTCACCTTATTGGGGACAGTGCAGGAGTTTCATCATCATGAGTCATGCCCTATCCATCTGGCCCAACTGCCTTGGTCAGAAGGACCTGGACCAATCTTGCAAATCCTTCCATCTGACAATGTCCTTGTCCCAGTCATGGCCCCTTCTCTGCTTCTATGGTCACATCTGTAACCCTGATGTACTGATCTACCACCATTCAGTTTCCTTTGTCCGCCTTTTGAAAGCTTGCTAACTCAACCAACCCAGGAACACCATTTTAACCTAGACCACCATTGCTGGTGGCCTCCCCCATCCAGATGATGTGTCTGTGTCTTTGTCTCTTTTAAAGCCTAACAAATGTCCTCTTTAAGTTATATTTGAAATGCGGTTCCTTTTATCCCCAAAAACACCTTAATAATGTGAATAGAGCAAAGCTTTGGGGACCTTCATGGGCTAACGTGTCTTGACAAAACAAAAAGAAACAGCCACAAACATCCACTAATAATCAGAATGAGGAATGTAGAAATGCATGAATCTAGGAAAATTGGAAGTTGTCAACAATTAAAAGAACAAAAAACCTCACTGTCATTGAGTCAATTCAGACTCATAGTAACCCTATAGGACAGGGCAGAACTGCCCCTGTGGATTCCTGAGACTGTAACCTTTTACAGGAGTGAAACGCCTTGTCTTTCTCCCAAGGAGTGACTGGTGGTTTCGAACTGCCGACCTTCTGGTTAGCAGCCCAACTGAATACACCACCCAAAACCAAACTCACCACCACCGAGTCCATGCAGACTCATATTGACCCACTGTAGGTTTCTGAGACTGTAACTATTTACAGGAGTAGAAAGTCCAGCCTCTCTTCAGAGGGAGGAGCTGCTAGTAGGGGCAACCTGCTGACCATGCAGGTTGCAGCCAGTCCATAACCCCCGCACCATCATGGCTCCACAAATGAAATGAGGCCAGAAGACTGATATTCTAGTCAAGTCAGTCAAGTGAGCTGAAATGGACTGATCAGGCCATTTTCAATCAAACGATCAAATGGTCTACTGTTCCAGAATGACTTGAGGAATGGGCTCACATTTATCATCAACAAGAACATCTCAAGATCTAAAGAACAACGCGTCAGTGATCGGATAATCCGCACGTGGCCTACCAGAAAGACCAGTACAGTAATTCAACTAGATCTATACTAGCCACTAGGGCATGACTGAAGGCCCCGCGAACCCCAGTACCGTCCATCAAGAACACACCCAGGTAGGCCCCTACGGGAGACTGGGCTGGCTGGAGAGAGGAAGAGCTCCCCTTTGCAGTCCCCCGTGCTGTAGGGCAGGATGGCTCTCACCCTTAGCTAACTGTCGGAGTGATTCAGTGGAGGTTTCCTCCACCGGGGGACCCTGCAAACGCTGTTGGGTTTCCACTGTGCTCCATTGCCTTCTGCAGACGCGGTGCTCAGAATTGAAGCTCTAATGCTCCCCAAGGAGGAGGAGGAGGACCTCACAGCCATGGCCAAGATGGAATTTTCCACGAGCCCAGAGTGAAGAGGACTCAGAGACCAACTGCTGTTCATTTCATCAAACTAAAGCAGCATTAAAAATTTTTTTTTTCACTGCACCTGAGCCTGTAACCTGATTCATAACGGCTAGAAGGTATCTAGGGCAGAGCGAAGCCTGCTTGGAACATAACCCAGGGGACAGCGGGGAAGGAAGGCCGCTGAGGAGGCAGCTGGCTCGCTGAGAATCGAGCAGGGAGACAGCAACAGCTTAGATTTGCCATTGGACACGGACAAAGAGTTTTGAGGGGCATTAAAAAGATCACTGGGGTCAAGTCAATTCCAACTCACAGCGACTCTATAGGAAAGAACCGAACCGTCCCCACAGGATTTCCAAGACTGTAAATGTTTACAGGAGCCCATGGACACATCTTGTTTTCTCAGAGGGGCTAGTGGTAGGTTCAAACCACTGGCCTTTGAGTTCACAGCTGAGTGCTTTACCCACTGCACTAGCAGGGCTCCTGAGGCCAGGCTAGGAGCTCCTTATAAACCTAGAGGGCCACTCACCTTTTGGCTGGATGCAAGGGCATTTTGCCAACTCTTTGGTCAGCGTCCCATCCACTCCCATACCCACCACTCCCCCTTAGGATGTCTTTGTACAGGTAGAAGAGGCCCCCTCCAGGCCCTGTGTGTGAATTAGGAAAAGCTGACCCTCTCTCAGACAGACAGGAGGGTGCAGGGAGGACCCTCTGCTGGGACCCTTTTATCTCAACAGTAGTGGTTTCTTCCTGAGCTCCATGTGAGCTCGGTACATGTCTGGTCTGGGTTTGCCAGAAGAAGTCAAATCAAGTCAACCAACCAACAAGAAACTGTTGCTGTCTGGTCAATTGTGGCTCATGGGGAACACACATCAGAGTAGAATTGCATTCCCTGGGGTTCTCAGGGATTGCTTTTTCTTTCTTTCTTTCTCTTTTTTTTTTTTTTTCATCAACGTACTGATTTTTATTAGGGATTGCTTCTTCAGAAGTAGATCACCAGGCCTTTCTTCTGAGGTGCTCCTGGGTTCACTTGAAGCACCCGTTTCTCAACGAACGGGGCGAGGGCTGCACTTGTTGCCTCCCAGGGAGTCCAAAAGAGGTAAGGGAGGCTGAGAAAGTCCACTGGTCAGGACTTGGTACAAAACACCTTCTCCAAATGGCCCAAAGCGGCTATGTGACCGTGGGCAAGTATCATTTCCAGGGAAGCTTCACTGCCTGCCCTTCAGAGAGAAGAGTGGTGAGTCAAAGCTGAGCGGAGGCCAGCGTGCTGCAGCTGTTGGTCCGGCCTCTTCAGCACTGCACGTGAAACAAACATCCTGGCAGCAAGCCTTCGTGCGTGGGCACAGCAACTGTGCCTATGACCTTTGCCCATTGCTGGTCTCAGAGCCTTTGGGAAGTCAGGCTGACACTGTGGTTGGCCTGAGGCCCAAGGCCACAGAGGGCTTAGTCCAAGGCCATGGAGGAGGCGGGCCGTATCAAGTCATGCTGATATCCTGCTCAGGCGCTCCAAAGCAAGCTCCCTCACATTCCTTCACTTAAGAAACGTGCCTCTCTGTGCCGCGTCTTGTGCCAGTGCTGCAATACGAAGCTGGGCAACGGTTGCCTATGGTTTAATTTTTTTAAAGAAAGAAAAGAGCAGGCTTTAGGCAGATTCATAGAGTTACCTGTAAAATTATAACTGTGACCGTGCTCAGTGTGGATGGCAGTCTAAGGATTTAGACATTTCCCCGATAGGCCATGGGGAGCCACTGAATGTTTTAAAGCAGGGAAATGACACGAGCCGCAACCCTGGCTGAGCCAAAAGAAGGCATCACTGGTGGGGACACCTGGAGGGGAGGACATTTGGAGGACAGTTGAGGAGAGGCTTCAGATTATGCCATACAATTTGTGTCTTCTTATAGCCGGGCTTAAAAAAATTTTTTTTGTAAGGGAATTTGAACTCTGTTTATTTTTGCATTCAAAAACAGACAGTCCAGGGGCTTTAAAAAGTTGGTGGGGAAATTCCATTAGCTTTTAATTCCATTTTTCCAC